GCGCACGCGCACGCGCGCGCGCACGCGCACGCGCACGCCAACGCGCACGCGCACGCGCACGCGCACGCGCACGCGCGCGCGCACGCGCACGCGCACGCGCACGCGCACGCGCACGCGCACGCGCACGCGCACGCGCACGCGCACGCGCACGCACACGCACACGCACACGCACACGCACACGCACACGCACACGCACACGCACACGCACACGCACACGCACATGCACACGCACACGCACACGCACGGCGATGTTTGGGTGTCCAGGACCCTGCACAGGCAGAAACGCTGACATACACCAAAAACCCAAGGTAAAGCAATGATGGTTTCTTGGGGCCCTTTTGGGAGTGCTCTTGGGGACCCCGTGGGCCGTGTTGGAAGCCTTGTGGGCCATCTGGAGGCCATCTTGGGCGTGTTCGAACGATATGTCCGCGTTTCGGGGCCTCTTGGAAGCCTCTTGCGGCCCTTGTCAGAAGTGTTGGGGTTTTCTTGGGCCGTCTGGGGGCGGCCTTGGGCCGTCGGCGCCCAGGTGGAAGCCTGATTGGACGACTTTCTGGTGTCCTGGGCCGTCTTGGAGCGTCGGGAAGCCGAACAAGCAGAAACGCAAAAATGCACCACAAACTGGAGGAACATCAGTGATTTTGGCTTCTCGGGGCCCTTTTGGGAATGCTTTTGGGGGCCCCTTGGGCCGTGTTGGAAGCCTTGTGGGCCATCCGGAGGCTATCTTGGGCGTGTTAGAGCGACATTTCCGCGACTGTAGGCCTCCTGGAGGCCTCTCGCGGCCCTTTTAAGCTGTGTTCGGCCTGTCTTGGGCCGTCTGGGGGCGTTCCTGGCGGCCCGGCACCGCCATGGCGTGTCGGGTGCCCCCTCCCGGCCCCCCTGGTCTTGTGCGCAGGGATATATATATATATATATATATACACACATATATATATACATATCAATAATTCCTACACTTGTAAATCATACACACATGTAGATACATCTGCGAACACACGCACACATACATACTCACACATTTGTGTGTATGTAGATGTTTAGATCGTGTGCAGGTATATATGTATATATATTTATATATATATATGTAGACAGAGAGAGATGCGAGAGTGAGAGAGAGGGGGAAGCAGAGAGAGAGAGAGGGAGAGCGAGGGCGAGCGAGAGAAGAAGCTATATATGTACACATCAGTATACGTACATATATCGAGAAAAGGTGATATATATATATATATAAAGATAGAGAGATGGAGAAAGAGAGAGAGAGAGAGAGACAGAGACAGAAAGAGAGAGAGAGAGAGAGAGAGAGAAAGAGAGAGAGAGAGAAAGCGAGAGACAGAGAGCGAGAGGTAGAAAGAGAGACATCGACACATCATCCCACCAGCCCTTTGGGCGTAGGTGGTTTAGAGCGTTTCCTCTTCCACCCCTCTCTCTTCCACTTTCGGGGAGGGATTTACCCCTCCCACTTACCCCCTCCCCTGGACCTGGACGGGGCGTCTTGTGGGTCGCTGGAGCGTCCAAGATGGCCCAAGATGGCTCCGAGAGGGCCTCAGAGCGCCCAATATGACCTCCACGATTGCCCAAAATATCCCAAGATGTGTCAAGATGGCTCCCAAGATGCTCCAAGAGGCCCCAAGACCGCTTGAAGACGGCTCCGAGCGGCCGCGGAGCCTCCCCAGGAGGCCGCCAAGAAGCCAAAATCCTTCGAATTGATCCTTCTCGCCTTTTCGCTTCCGATGGCCGTCCGATGCCTCCAGACAGCTCCAAGAGGGCCCATGAGGGCTCCAAGAGAGGCCCCACAGAGCCCCAAGACGGCCCCAAGAGCGCTACAAGAGCACTCCAAGAGGGGCCCAAGGGGTGAGTTTGGGGGCTCCCGAGGTGGGAGGCTAATTAAGGACCCCCCCTTCTTTGATCGATGTCCTCCAAGATTGCCCCAAGAGGCGCCCAGGAGGCGCCAAGAGGCCCCAAGAGGCTCCAAGATGGCCCCAAGATGGCTCCAAGATCGCCCCAAGAGGCCCCCAGGAGGACCCCAAGAGGACCCCAAGCGGCCCCAAGAAGCCCCCCCCCGAGGCACCCAAGACGCCCAAGAGCCCCCCAGGACCGCCGACGGACCCCCAAGACGTCCCAAGCGGCCTCCAAGGAACGCCCAAGAGATACCCCAAGGCACTCCGAAAGACATCCAAGAGACCGGTGGCCCTTTTGCTTGTCCTCCTCCTCCTGCTCCTCCTTCCTCCTCTGACTCCTTCTCTTCCTCCTCCTCCTCCTCATCATCATCCTATTCATCTTCCTTCTCCCCACTCCCTCATCCATCCATTCAACCTCCTCCTTCTCCTCCTCCCTCCTTCGCACGGTTCGGCCGTCAACCTCTTTGCTCCCTCACTCCCCTGATCACCTCAACTCGCCTGGACCTCGTTTCTGGATGGGCTGGCGGGAAGACGCGAAGCGTCCACAATCTATTCATATACATACATATAGAAGGAGTGAGAAGCAACACGTACATCTATATTTAAATATTTGTATAAAACAAGGCAGGAACAATCACGATATAGCGAGAGGGACGTATACACACATAACACATGCATTTCTATACACATATCTAGTTAAACGTGTATATAGAAAGAGAAAGAGGATCAATCATATGTATACATGTATACGTGCACATCTTACGTATAGGCAGAGAGAGAGAGAAACCAACTACATCAAAGTGTTTATAAAGAGAGAGAGAGAGAGAGAGAGAGTGAGAGAGAAAGAGAGAGTGAGAGAGAAAGAGAGAGAGAGAGAGATATAGATAGCATACCTATATATATAGACATGTATACATGCGTACATCTTAAGAGAAATTGAGAAAGAGAGAGAGCTCAGTATTCAAGGGTAGGCTACGTCCAAAAGGCCAGGCCGCAACCCGAGAGGGTGAATGAGAAAGAGGGGATTGGAGAGATGCATGACTAATCCAAGAAGCGCTCCAGAGCCTGCCTGGAGACAGGGCAGGTTGACGACCGTCCCGGATTACTGCTTCGAATGATGATTACGAAAGTGATGATGATGATGATGATGATGATGATGATGATGATGATGATGATGATGAAGATGAAGATGAAGATGAAGATGAAGATGAAGATGAAGATGATGATGATGATGATGATGATGATGATGATGATGATGATGATGATGATGATGATGATGATGATGATGATGATGATGATGATGATGATGATGTGAGGAGGAGGAGGGGGTGAGGATGGTGTTCCTGCGCGGGGGTGTCCAAGGAAACAAAGAACACCACTTACGATGTAGGGAGAACTTGGCTGCCCATGTTGGATAAAAATTGAAACTCTGCCGCTTTTTTGTTAACGATGAGCCGCGTCTACGTACATCGCAGGGTGGTGGGAGGCTGGGAAGGTCCCAAGCATCTGCTGCACAGTTTTTCCGAAGCGTGACCCCCAAGAAGTTCGGATCCTGTCCCTTCAAGACTTTTTGCTTGAGCATCCAGAGGCCCAGAGCTGACCTCCAGATGCCACGTGTGTTTTTTGTTGCTCCTGGGGGGCGTCGTTGTTCTGCGCGGTCGGATGTGTGGGCCAAGGTGGTTTCGACAGCTCCGGCCGACTCCTTGCTCGGCGCGTGCGCGAAGGGCGCGGCGTCGGCCTGGCTCGCCGCTCCCGGTCCAAGTCCCCCGCGGAGGGAGGCGGAGGTGGGAGTGGGGTAGTCTCCTCCTCCTTCCTTTCCTCCTCCTCCGCCCCCCCTCTATTCCTATTCCTCTTCCTCCTCCCTCTTCTCCCCCTCCTCTTCCTCCACCTACTCCTTCGCCCTCCTCCGCCGCCTCCTCCGCCTCCTCGTCCTCCTCCTCCTCCTCCTCCTTCTCCACCTCCTCCTTCTCCAAGCAGTGCTTGTACGAAGGGGTTCTCAATTCCCTACCTAGGCTCTGCCTAGAGGGGTTCTTACTCTCTGGGCTTAAAGGGCCGGGCAGTGGAAAGCGCCCTGGGCGGTTCCCCCAGTATCCGCCCCGCGGTTCCCCGAGTTACGTCCCCTTAGCTTAACGTTGTTTATATCATCTTAGCTTAGCTTATTTCATCTTAGCTTAGCTTAGCTTCATCTTAGCTCAGGCTTATCTTAGCTTAGCTGACCTTCATCTGAGCTTCGCTGAGCTTTAGCATAGCAGAGCACAGCATAGCATAGCGCAGCATAGCATATCATAGCATAGCCCAGCATAGCATAGCATAGCGCAACATAACATAGCATAGCATAGCATAGCATAGCGCAGCACAGCACAGCGCAGCATAGCATAGCATAGCATATCATAGCATATCGCAGCTTAGCATAGCATAGCCTAGCATTGCTTAGCATAGCACAGCGCAGCATGACACAGCATAGCTTAGCATAGCAGCGCATAGCGCAGCCTCGCATAACATAGCATAGCATAGCGCAGCATAGCATGGGATAGCATAGCATAGCAACTAATGCTATTGTCCTAGGGGCTCCAACTTCTAGGTAGGGTCGCACTGGGGTAATTGGTTTCTTAAGTGCTCTCCTCATGCGCCTCCTCCCCCGACGCCTCCGCCGCGTCCTCCTCATCCGCCACCTTCTCTTGGGGGCGCGTTTGGGCCTTCCAGGGGCTCCCAAGGAGCTCTGGGTACCTCCGGGGGTCATGATGGCCCACCTCTAGCAACACTGCGGTACAGACAATCGGCCAACATGTACGAAATCAGAAATCAAGTGTATCGGGTAGAACGGCTGTGTACACATGCCTAATTTGTATACGTGCAGCACACGCGTGAATCCAACAGGTGTTCGTTTCCGTCTGTGGTTCGTAGGCGAAGGCATTAGTGGTGGGCGCTGGCAAACGAGACATTATGCATATTTCCACTTAAGCAAGCCATACGCCGTGGTTCGATCAATCGATCGTCGGTCGTCATTCGATCATGTACCACGTGGACCGTCAAACATTTACGCATGTCCGTCATTAAGAGCATCGAATACAACAGACATGAAAATATACAACCAAAACCCAAACACACCTCTTGAATGCACAATTCTATACAGACATCCGCGTATCAAATTTACAGGGTCTGATCTGACTTTCCTGTATATCGGACCCTTCAATCACCAATACGTGCCGTGGAAATGACTAATGCACGTTACCTCTCTCACTCTGTACATGTGGGTAGATGCACACGTGCCATCTTTTCATATACACATGACTGCATATCTACATCTCAGAATGACAAGGCCGAACAATCATTCACTGTCCATGGGGGCGTGGCTGAAGTGAGTTTTCGCGGTGCAGATTGTTGTTGCTGTTGTTGTTGTGCTGTTGTAATCGTCTTCGCCCGCGACCCATCAACGCCCCATCCACAACACTTTGACGAACATTCGGGGCCTGCGGCGGGCCAGTTGTGCAATGTGTAGAAAATCGGCGACTGCGGCGGGCTTCTTCAGAGCCTTAAACAATACCGACGACCCCGCTGCCCCCTTCATTCTGACCCGCAACTGAAGGGTGCAACGTACATATATATATATATATATATACGTGGCACCCCGCAATTGCGGATAAGAATGAGCGGGCGGGCGCGGGCGACGTGGACGTCGAGTCAGCGGACCGCCGCAAGCGCCGAATTTTTGGCTTGTTCTGTGGACGCAGTTTGGGTCGCGGGCTCTCCACCTCCACCTGGAAATAATCAAAAAAACAGCCCGCCGCAGGCGCCGACAATTTTGATGTGTACACTGAACGCGGTTTGGGTCGCAGGTTCTCCACCTGGAGCGAATGCAAAAGAAACCCGCCGCAGGCGCCGAAGTTTTGGCTTGTTCAGTGAACGTAGTTTGGGTCGCGGGCTCTCCACCTCCACCTGGGAGGAATTCAAAAACAGCCCGCCGCAGGCGCCGAACATTTTGATTTGTACACTGAACGCGGTTTGGGTCGCGGGTGGGTCGCAGGTTCTCCACCTGGAACACATGCATAAACCCGCCGCAAGCGCCGAACATTTTGGGTGGGTCGCGGGGTGGGTCGCGGGTGGGTCGCGGGTGGGTCGCGGTGGGTCGCGGGTGGGTCGCGGGCGCGGTTTGGGTCGCGGGTGGGTCGCAGTTCTCCACCTGGAACGAATGCAAAAGAAACCCGCCGCAAGCGCCGAACATTTTGGGTAGGTCGCGGGGTGGGTCGCGGGTGGGTCGCGGGTGGGTCGCGGTGTGTCGTGGGTGGGTCTCGGATGGGTCGCGGGTGGGTCGCGGGGTGGGTCGCGGGTGGGTCGCGGGTGGGTCGCGGGTGGGTCGCGGGTGGGTCGCCGGGGGGGTCTCGGGGTGGGTTGCGGGCGGGTCGCGGGGTGGGTCGCGGGTGGGTCGCGGGTGGGTCGCGGGTGGGTCCTGGGGTGGGTCGCGGGTGGGTCGCGGGGTGGGTCGCGGGTGGGTCGCGGGTGGGTCGCGGGGTGGGTCGTTGGTGGGTCGCGGGGCTGGTCGCGGGTGGGACGACGACAACAACAAACAACGAACAACAAACAACAAACAACAACAATAATCCGCATCGCGGAATTCCACTTCAGCCACGCACCCAGGGACAGTGAATGACCGTTCGGTTCAGCCTCCTCACTCTGACATATATATATATATATACATATAGATATGTATTCAAACATGTACATTATATCTATGTGTGTTCATACGTACATATATATATATATATAGAAGTTTACAAATATTCACGACGGGGCCGAACACCCTAAACCAAAAAAACCCTGCCATCTTCTAGGGGCGTATCTGTTACGTCCGCCGGCTTCCGCCCCCGTTTTACTTCCGCCGCATTTCGCGGGCCTTCCGCCGAGGAAGAGACGGCAACCCCTTCGATCCTCGAAAGCGAAGCCATTTCTGAAACGACTCGTCTACATACACATATACACATGCGTTTACATATTATATACTTTTACATGCACATATATTCTACATATGCAAATACATGTACATCTGCGTATACATGTGCGCATACACATGCACACATACACACGTAACCATGTACGCATCCATTAACATTTACACATACATATACATCTACATACACACAAACATAAACACATATATACACATAACTATACGTTTACCTATATACATATACGTGTGTGTATACATATATGTGTAAATGTGCATGCATGTGGGCGCAACTGACACGTAATACACGTCCGAATGTCCTGAGGTCCCCCTGGGCCCTCTGCGTCGAGTACTGCAATACGTTTCAGAAGGCCCAGGAAACCAAGAGAAGGATTTCCTGGGGCCTCCCACAGGTCTTATGGGGCCAGTCGCATGGATTTTCCCCTGGAAGCCTCGGGCGCGTGGTCGGGATTTGATGCTTCCAGCATGGCCTCGTATGGTCTCTGGGCCAATCTTGGCGTCCTCTTTGGCGCATCTTGGGTTGCGGCGCAAACCCTGGGGGCCTGGCCCAGGGGCCCGCATCAGAACCATGCATACACGTCGGTCGGAAAAGTAGGCAAACCATGACGTAGGAAGGAGGGTTGGGTAGATTGGGTCCAGGCCTCGCAGAGAATGACAAGACACAACAAAAGCAAGTCGACTCTTGAAGTAGGAAGGCGCTTGAAGTAGATTAGGATCTGGTAACCCAGAAGCACCTAATTTCAACGACTGGCGTGTGCGCTGTCCTCGTTTAACAAAAACTGTTTTCCCAATCGTCATACCGCACGGTATGCCCAAGCACCCACGATCGCCCCAGGACGGCCCACGAGGCCCCCCAGAGGGCCCCAAGAGGGTCCACTGATGGGGAACCCGAGCTGACATGTCGAGCCTCTCGCCCTGCCTCCAGGACCGTCAGGACGCCCCCAGCAAGCCGAAACTGCCCCCCGATAGGCTTACAACAAACACCGAAGAAGCCTCCCCCCGAGATGCCCCAAAAGACCTCTGGCCCGCAACCCAAGACTGGTGACGGGCTTAGCTGGAAATCAACAGGTATTACATGGCATGGCATGGCATGGCATGGCAATGTGTATATGTATATGTATATCAGTGTCTGTGTACACAAGGAAACATGCACATACCGTACGTCTGTGTATATACTCAGCATTTGGAATAACGGGATGCATTTACGTACGAACGAGAGCATAGTACGTGGGAACTTGATTCGACAGTTGGGCACACACACGCGTGCACAATTAGGACGTTCATCCACCGCCGTGCCTTTCAGAATGTAGAAGCTCCCATGGCTCATACGAATGTTAGAATTCGAAGACTTGTAAGATGTTTCAGGGACTGGGCCACCAATTTGCCAGACTTCTTGCTTGCAGTGGGCATTTCCGACGTTTCTCATTTGGGCGTCCCAGAAGCCAAACATCCCCGAAGACTTTTCAATCACCGCCACAATAAGCTTACTAAAACTCGGTAGCCCCAAGGCGCCGTCCTGCGGCTCTCCTGGGGGCTATTTGTTGCTGATACCGATGCCACTGCGCTGCAGGCTTCGATCCAGCAGGCGCGGATGTGCGACGCACGACCATCAAGGCTGGATGTAGGTGCTCGTGGAATGCTGATGCAACCGCGTGCACAGCTACCAAAATAACGGCACCTGAGGTCAGGCGGCGCGTGACGACACCCTGCCGGACTGCTCCCGAAAGGCAAGCATCACAAGGAACGGACGCACAGGGTCAGAGACGTCCCGCGACGCGCAGGACGAGGAGGAGGAGGATGAGGAGGAGGAAGAGGAGGAGGAGGAGGAGGAGGAGGAGGAGGAGGAGGAGGAGGAGGAGGAGGAGGAGGAGGAGGAGGAGTGGGAGCAGGAGGAGGAGGAGGAGGAGGAGGAGGAGGAGGAGGAGGATTCTGCTATCCTGATCTGCCGTGCCATGAGCAAGAGAGCGCGACCGACGACGATGAGACAGCACCATCCCCCTGGCCTCTCCTGGGCGACATGGGGCTGCATCAGAAAAGGCGGTTGGTGGTCGGGTGTCGCCCTTCCCCCAACCGATTCAAACGCCCAGAGATCTTCCGAGGATCGCCCCCAGGACACTGAGACAGGAGACCGAGCCATCTGTCGTGGGCGTACCTTGCACACCGACGGCAGAATACCACTCTTGGGAGGCGCACGTAAGCGGAAAACTCTAACACATCCGAAACGAGTTTGTATCGTTGGATATACGCTTCTCGCTGCCAGGCTACATGCTCGTGTTGCTTGGCTCCTAGCTTGGCGTACTGATCAGCATATTTATTTCCAGCAAACTGCGAGAGGCCCATGACTTGACGCTGGGCCCGCGTCGCGTGCGCCTTCACTTTCTGAAACCGAATCCCCCTCGGGCCGATGCCACCGTTCTCGGCGATCAGGGCCCAGCAGCGGCTCCACGTCTCAGAATGCATCGTGCTCGGCCTCTCGACCCAGGCTGGGCCGCGCGCGAAGCCGTCGAGAATGCTCTGGCAGTCGGTCCAGATGGTGAGCGGCGGGCACGCCACCTCCAGCACGCGCCGAACTGCCTCCAATTCACTCCGGAAAATCGCCTGCTGCCATTGCGCCCCTGGCTGGGGCCCGTAGCAAGCGAAACGCAGTTGCATGTCGGGCGTCAGCTGCACGAACGCCCAGCCTCCTCGCCGCAGAGCCGCGTAGCTGCCGTACAGCAGGCTGCCGTCGGTGTAGACATCGCCCGTGACGAAGCCGTCGAACTCGCCGTGGACCAGGAGCCCCCCCCAATCCCTGGCCCGCGGAGCGCGCCAGAGGAGGTGCCAGAGGCGCCGCCACGAGTCGGCGGCGAGCGAGGGGGGGGGAGGTGAGAAGAGGGGAGCAACAAGTGACATAAACATAAAAACTCGGAGGTCCGCGTGGATTTCTCGGATCGGCGCTGGACCCCCCTCCCTGGCGTGCGGAGCGCGCCAGGGGCGGCGCCGGAGGCGCCGCCTGGGGGCCCCAGCGCCGATCCGAGAAATCCGCGCGGACCTCCGAGTTTTTATGTTTATGTAATTTTTTGTTCCCCTAGAGAAGGGGCGGGCCTTCTCAGAAGGCTCGGCAGTCCCCCAGCCTTCGGAGAAGCTTTTCTAGGCACCCCCCGAGGACGCAGGACACTTCGCAGAAGGCCCGCGAGAGCGCTCGAGAAGCCCCGTCGCCTTCTGAGAAGGCCCTCTCCTTCTCACTTCCGCCCCTCGCTCGCCGCCGCATGAGGGGAGACCCGGCGCAGGTCCGAGAAAAGGAGAAACATCGAGCGGAGCTCCGACAGTCTGCGCCCGTGCCGGGTGTTCCCGACGCCACAGGCGGGGCTGCCAGAAGGAGCAGGGGGGCAACAGCATCCACCCTCCCCAGGAGCACCCCGACCAGCGACGCCGTTTGGCAAGCAAGCACACCCATGGAAGCAAGCGGACCGGGCGGCGCCAGAAGCGCCGCCAGGAGGGGCCAGGCGCTGACCCGAGAACGCCGCGCGGAGCTCCCACCGTCTACACGTCGTTCATTGCTAATCGTGCTCATTTCTAAGTGTGCTCGCTTCTCATTGTTCCTGGCCCCCTGGTGGCCAGGAAGAGGCCCAGGATAGAACAATTAGAAACGAAAGGATCTTGGCCCCCCAAAAATCAAAGACCTTTCGAAGAAACATAAATGCACAATGTGTATGTTTACTGGGACCACGCGCGCGCTTCACGCGCTCGGCGCGTGCACGCATGCTCCCAGAAATGGCGTAAGCGTGAAGGGAGGATGCAGCAAAATCTGCGATGCTCACTCCTTCGGGGCCTCTCTGTGGGTGCGCCTCGGGCCCTCCGATGACGTCTGGGGCCGTCTTGCAAAGATCTGGGAATCGTATCGGGCCACCTGTTCTGCCTTCAGACACGTCTTTTCCGTATCGGGGGTATCTTGGCGCCGACCTGAGGCCCTGAACGGCCATTGAGACCCATCTTGGGGTCGAGAGGGCCTCCCGAAACGTCCAAAACTGGTTGCGGGGGGCAGGCAAGACGGCCCAAGGGGCCCCCAAGATGGCTTGAAGATGGCCCAAGGGGCCCCCAAGACGGCCTAAGAGAGATCCAAGGGGCCTTCCTGGCGAGCCCGAAGGGATCAAAACCATTCATATTCTCCTACAAGTGTTTGAAGGATTTTGAGGTTCTCCCCAGTTCGAGTTTCCTACCGACCGCCCAAGACGGCCCAATAGGCCTCCAATAGCCCCCCCAAGACAGCTCCAAGACAACTCAGGAGGCCTCCAAGAGGGCCCCAAGTCGGGCCAAGAGGACCCACATATTGCCCAAGGGGCCTCCTAGAGGGCCCCAAGACAGCCTTGAAGCGCCCCAAGAGAGCAGCAAGACGGCCCCAGAGAGGCCTCTTGGGCCGTCTTGGGCGGTCGGGAACCCGCAAATGCCAGAGCATCAGCACCCATCGAAAACCTCAGGAAAATCAATGGTGTTGGCCTCCTCGGGCTCTCCTGGAAGGCCACGTGGAGACCTCTTGGACCGTCTCGAGCCCCTTGACCTGCCTTGAACTCTTCTTGCGAGCCTCATGGCCTCCTGGACGGATTTCAAGGCAGCCAAGACGACACTAAGATGGCCCAATATGGCCGAAGACGGCTCACGAGGCCCTCAAGGCAGCCTCAAGACAGATCAAGCAAATCCCAAGACGTCCCAAGAAGGGGTCCGAGAGGCCCTTCTGGAGTGCCCGCGGGGGCCTGCACCATCGATTCTCCTCAGGTTTATACACTGAGGTTCTCGCCAGTCGGGTTTCCGACCGCCCAAGACCGCCCAAGAAGCCTCCAAGAGGCCTCCAAGATGGCTCCCAAACTACCCAAAAGACCCCCAAGGGGGCTTCAAATCCGCCCAGAAAAATCCAAAGATCTCCCAAAAGGCTTCCAACAAGTCCCCAAGACGACCGTGAATCGCTCCATGAGGGCACAACACTGCCTAGATAGGGCCCCCAAGGCGGCCTCCATAGGCGTCAGACGGCCCACTCATCCTCGAAGACGGCCCGAGGCGCCCCAAGAGGCCCCCAAGAGGCATCGTGAGGCCACCAAGATGCCCCAAGAAGCTTTCAGGAAGCCTCCAGGAGGCTCCCAGGAGACCCCAAGAAGCCTTCCCCTCCTCCTCCTCATCTCCTCTCCTCCTCCTCCTCCTCCTCCTCCTCCTCCTCCTCCTCCTCCTCCTCCTCCTCCTCCCCTCCTCCTCCCTCCTCCTCCCTCCTCCTCCTCCTCCTCCTCCTCCTCCTCCTCCCTCCTCCTCCTCCTCCTCCTCCTCCTCCTCCTCCTCCTCCTCTCTACCGCCCGAGCGAAGACGAGGTCGGGAAACGACCCGCACCAATACAGACTACTCGTCGGAATTGCGCTGCTACTACACTCAACCTCCTTCCTGCTACGCTGTTGCACAAACGTGGTGACAGGGTTCGACAGGAAGCTGGATCTATACATCCGCTTCAAGTCAGGCCAGGCGCCCAACGGCGCCATATATGGATTTGACATGGGGTGAACGTGCCCGCAATGCACTGCGGGGAAATATTGGACCTTCGCAGTAAATCGGAAAGAGAAAAATAACGAGAGAGAGAGAGAGAGAGAGAACGCCGAGTATGCTGTCCTGCTGGCGCGGACCGTGGCCACGCCCGCCTGACCCGCTGGGCCGGCGGGGCCAGCCCGTCAGGGAACCGCAGCCGCAGCCGCCCTGCCACAGGGCGCCTTTGCTCACCTCTGCCCACCCCCCGTGGCTGGCCCACCTGCAGTCCAGCCTCCCGCACGGGCCCCGGGTCAAGCAGCAGAGTCCGAAGGGGCAGTGGCGTTATGCCGCACCGCCGCTCCCGCGCGTGCCCAGCCATGTGCCTGCCGCAGGCCCTTCTCCAAAGGCGACTTGCGAGTGTGCCGCACGGCCCGCAACCTGGCCCGCAGGAGTTTGTTCTGCCCAGATGGCGTGGAGGACGGGCTCGGTTCCTTTGACCTAATCCAGGGGAAGGTGGTTCCCTTTCGCAGGAGGCCCAAACGGAGCTGCACCAGTCCTAAGACCCACCGGGGCGTCCCATACAGCTAGAGCACCTTGCCGACTCACGAGCTGGACGCCTGCGCCGACGTACGGCCGACCAGGCGCAGACGCCGCGCAGCAGGGCCCCGCGAGACGATGACGACGACGACGACGCTGACGACGACTCCGACGACGCCCAGCCGCCCAGTCTCGACACCGACGGGGGCCTGGGGCAGACGTGCCTCAAACTGGACGAATGGGCCACGGTCGGGCCGTCGGATCCGTCCTGGAGCCGGTGGCGCACTCCCTCGCCGTGCTCCGGGGGCTGCTGCAACCGCCCTCCTCGACGCGCAGCGGGCAAAGATGCCGCCGCAGCTAGCAAGGCCGGCAAGCTGCTGACTCTCTTCGGCAGGGCGGAGGTCTCTCCAATGTCCTCACACGACGAATCCGCGTCGCCTGGTGCGAACACTGGGGACACTGGGGGGATTTTGGCGGGAGCCGGTCGCCACCGCCGAGGCCGGGGCAGCCGCGGCCAGACGACGCCGCACTTGCTGCCCGCAGGACGTCCCTAAAAGCGTGGAGACCATCCTCGCCGTCGGCCTCGTCTCCAACGCCATGGCCCTGGTGACTCGCTCTGCCACAATGGTTACCGACGCCAGGGCCCACGACGAGCTGCAGAGCCCCTTCGGTGGGGCCGCCACCGCAGCTGGAGCAGAACTCCCCGACGACGAAGCCGCAGACAGCCTGCTGCACGATGTGCGCAGGATCATCGAGCAAGCCCCGCGGAGGTCTGGCCAGGGGCCCACCGGCTCCCACCTCGAACGCTGGAAAGCCTTCCTGGCGGACTCCGCCGCGCTGGAGGCAGCCTGCCGGGTGGCCGTGGCCTTCCTGCTCGGGGCCCTCCCAAGGGACTTCACAGCGGCCACCTTGGGGGTCCGCCTGGTGGCGCTGCGGAGGAAGAGCGGGGAACTCCCGCTGGAGGCGTGCGGGAGCGTCCTTCGCAGGCTGGCGACGAGAGCGGCCTGCGAAGTCTTCAGGGAGGAGCTGACGGACGCTTGCGGCCCCCACCAGTTCGCAAATGGCACGATGGCGGGCTGCGAGCGGGTCCACGAAAGCGTCGCTGCCTCGGCCGAGGCATCGCTTGGGGCCGCTGTGCTGACTTTCGACGCCACCAAAGCCTTCAACTCCTTGTCCTGACAGACTGTGCTGGAGGCGGTAGGCCGCCAGGCGCTGAGCCTCCTCTCTGCTGCCAACGCCTGGCTGACTCGGCAGACAACGCACGTCTTCTGGGACGGCCGCGGCATGCCCGTGTCTGCCCAGACTGGCGTCGACCAGGGTGTCCGCTCAACCTCGCCTTCTTCGCCGTGGGCATCACGGATGCACTGACCCGCTCGTGCGAGCGCTTCCAACAACTGAGCCCTGCCTCTCGCCATCTCTCTTACGTCGACGAGTGCTTGTGGTCCGGGCCCACGACATCGTGCAGGAACAGTTGGCTAGGGCTGGTCTGGAGCTCAACGCGGCGAAAACCAAGCTGTGGACCGCTAGCCCAGCCACAGCGGTGCTTCCCCAGCTTGGGCACCTCTGGACTGCCACCCTCTCTGTTCTGGGAAACCTGGTCACGCGGTATGACCGCGACGACGGCGACGACGCCGGGCTGCCCCTCCTAAACAGCTCTGGTGGGCGGGAGGTCATGGACAAAACATGGCACTTCCTGAGCCACTGGGGGACGCTGCGCCAGCCGGCAGGGGCGCACACGCTGCTCCGCATCTAGCCAAGGGCTGCTGCACCAATCTCCTGCGCGCGATCTGTGAGATCGGTTGGGTTGGGGAGCTCGACGACTTGCTCCTCGATGCCTACGTTGAGCTGACCGGGCATTTGAGCAACGGCCAAAAATATTGGCTCACCCTCCGCCTCAAGGACGGTGGCAACGGCTTCCCCTCTGCCCAGGCGACCGCCGCCCGCGCTTACCTCGGCAGCTGGGCTTTCTGCTTTGGGGGCGTGGCAATTTGCCTCGGAGCCACCTCGGCGGAGGCCGCCTGGGCCCGCTGCCCTCAGACAACAGGCGCCCGGCACCGCGCCGAGGCGGAACTCGACGGGCAGGAGAAGAAGGCCGAACCCTTGGACTGGGCAGCTCTCTTGGCCGAGCCCAAGGCCAAACACCAGGGCAAGGCAGGGGGGGGCCTGGGGCGGGAGCTTGGATGCTGCCCCGCGAGGAGGACGACGCACCCCTCCCAGGTGCCCACTTTTGTGCCAACCTGCGCATGCGGCTCTGCCGCGACGTCTGCCTCCCGGGCGCGCGCTGCCAGCACCACGAAACAGGACGGCTCTCAGTGTGGCGAGATAATGCATGCCAAGGGCTGGCACGCCCAGACGTGCAGGTGCGGGGGCAGCGAGGACTACCGACAACATTCCTTGCGCGACTGGAGCGCGCCGTGGCATTGCGCCCAGATTGGCCACTGGGCCACGACCGAGCAGCGCGTCCCTGCCTGGGATCGCCAGCACCCCGACACGGGCACGTGGGAGGAGGCCATCCTCGACGTGGTCACTCGCGACCCTCTTTACCAGCGGTCTCGTATACGTTGACTGGTCTGTCACCTGCAAACATAGCGACAACAGCGCTCGCAAGCAGACAAGGGCTCGCACGGACAGGGTGGTGGCTGTTCAGGCGGTTGACAGGAAGCGGGAGCTGGTCCTGGCAGTCTTAGAGTCAAGGGGCCGACCGGCCGACGAGCTACTCGCTTTTGTCCGCTCTTACGGCCGTGACTGGCCAGAGATCGGGCGTGATTCCCACCACCTCGAGGAAGATCCAGCGCTGCTTGTCTTTCGGAAACGCGGAGATGTTGCTTAGTGCGACGTGAACAACCAAGCAGCCCCCCAATCGCCAGCACGACGACCACCGCAACCAAGACCACTACCAGCTCCGACGCGGCCACCACCACTAATACGACGACCACTGACACGGCCTCCGCCACGATCACTGCGACCACCACGTCGACCATCACCACGACCACCGCGACCACGCCGCCACCGCCACGACGCCCACCATCACGGCCACGACCAACACCTCCTCCACCACGACCACCGCCTCGACGACACCACGATACCCACGACCATTACCACCACCTCCACCACCACAATCACGGCGACCGTCACGAACGCCACCACGACGACCGCGACCTCCACGACCACCGCCTCGACGACTACTCCCACGACATCCGCCTCCGCCCCGGCCTCCCCTCCATTCCTGCCCCCTCTGCTTGGCCGCCCCTGCTTGCTCTCCTCCTCTTCCTCCTCCTCCTCCTCCTCCTCCTCCTCCTCCTCCTCCTCCTCCTCCTCTTCGTGCGCCACAGCAGGTGTCCCTCATCCTGCCCGAAGGGGGCTCGGTGAGACGTGGTGCGTGCGTGCTCCGACGCCGCTGGCGTGCTCTGCTGCCCTGGGCCGAATTAGAGTCGTGAGCTGGTGCGTGACCCTTCCCCCCCCTCCCCAAAGAGAGAGAGAGAGAAGAGAGAGACAGAAAGAGAGAACAAGAGAGGGAGAGAGAGAGAGAGAGCGATAGAGAGAGAGAGAGAGAAAGAAAAAATACATAGAGAGAGAGAGAGAGAAAGAGAAAGAGAGAGAGAGAGAACCTCCTGCCTCGGCGACGCCTCGGCGCACTCCACACGCCGCCAGGGCGGTGCCGCCTGTGTGAAACCAGGCGGTGGCATGCAGCTGGCCAGCGCTGCTGCCGCCGCCGCCGCCTCCACGCTATGTCTCATATTGTATTCGCCCTCGCGCGATCCCAGGCACCCAGAGCGTCTATAACCTCCACATATGTGAGGAACTGTGGTGGGGAAGGCGGAGGACAAGGAGGGGAAATGACTGACAGGAAAGGATGGGGAACAGGGAGGAGGAGAGGGAGGAGTGAGAGGAGAAGCAGTGAGGCTGAGGCGGAAGATGGAGGGGAAGTGGGAGAGAGAAGATTATGGAGAAAGACGGGGGGGGGCATCCTCACTGCTCCCGCCTCCCTCCTCCTGCCCCATGTCGAAGCTGGGCATCGCACACCCCGTCTCCATCGAACATTGGGTTGGCGCGAGAGGGGGAAGATGCCCGACGTCCTCGAACTCGATCTTTTTCTATCTACCTCGACCCCATGAGGATCTCCGTAGCCGACTCCCGACTTAGTCAAACGCTCGATGGCCACACTCATGCTTGGGGATGTAACACTTACGTCATATTTAGTCACTTCGTCATTATGCTATACGATGAGCGTGTAACGGAACATCAAGTCAGAGAGACGCTCGCCACTTTTTCCGAAGCAAACACAACAGCATGGCCCCACACTTGGCGGGAGTCGGCAACAACTCCGTCGACACCCACTTGTCGGGAGTGAAAAGGCGTACAAGATGATTGGCTGTAGGCCGCAGGGTCTAACATCGCGTTTGAGGGGGGGAGGGGTCCACGAATTCACTGGCGCTCCTTGTACGCCCCTGGAGAAGAATCGGTGCCCCAACGCGAGCTGATAGAATGCCGAAAGACCCCTATGAAGAACCAAGAGGGCTCGAAGACGGCCCAAGAACATTCCAAGCTGGCCCAAGAGCACTCCGAGACTCTCCAAACGGACCAGGGCGCTCCAAGAGGTGGCCCAGAAGGCCACCCAAAGGCCAACGCCATTGATTTTCGTTAGGGCTTGAGGATTTCAACTTTCTCGCGGGTTTCTGACGCTCCAAGACGGCACAAGAGCGGCAGAATGCCGAAATACGGTCCAAGAGGCCCCTAAGATGGCCCCCAGACACCGCAAGAGAGCCCCACGATAGCCCCAAAGGTCCACCACACAGCCCAAGACTGCCCTAAGGGTGCCCCACGAGAGCCCTGGGAAAGGGATTTCGAAACGACATTTCGAACCATCAGCCCCAAGATGACGCCCGAGACCGCCAGCAGGCCCCCACGAGGCTCCTCAGAAGCCCCAGGAGGCCTCAAAGATATTCAAATCAACCTTAAGATGCCTCGACGAGGCCCCCGGAAGTCCTACAAAAACACCCGACACCACCTCCAAGAGGGTTCGGCTAGGCCTCCCAAGAGATCCCTAGATGCATCAAAGAGGCATCTGACTTACAACTCAGGCGTGGTGGCGGGATGGGCTGACAACCATTAGATCCGATGTTGAAATAAACCATGGCCGATCCGCAACTTCCACCTCCGATCCTCCTCCCCTGACTCCTGCCGGCTGATCGTCCGACTGCCATGCCTCGCGTGCTATTTATCATTAAATTCCTTCCTCCTCCTCCTCCTCCTCCTCCTCCTCCTCCTCCTGCCCCCCATCTTATCCTCCTCCTCCTCCTGCTCCTGCTCCTCCTCCGTTCGCGCAGGGCGTACTCCCGAAACCAACGTGGATTCATGTACGTCTACGTCCTTCTGTCGCTCCTGATCTGAAGAGGAGGAGCGGAATGGAGCGAAGCCCGCTGCGGAATGCACAGGTGCCAGCTGCCCGGCGACATGGAACTCCGATGCCTCGCATGTTTTCTCTCGGTTCGACTCGGAGCCCCGGGCTTCTCATACCAGCCGCAGTCCTCTCGACGTGGCCTTCACGAGTCTCGTCGTCCGACGGGGGAGCAGGAGGGCAGCCCTGCCGAGGTATTCCTTGAGAGTCTGATCGTACGATGGAGGTGGAGGAGGAGGAAGGGAGGGGGAGGAGGAGGAGTAAGAGGAGGAGGAGGAGGAGGAGGAGGAGGAGGGGGAGGAGGAGGAGGAGGAGGAGGAGGAGGAGGAAACAAACAAGCAAGCAAACAAGCAAGCAAGCAAATCTCACGGAGTCCCTCCATGACCTCAAGTACACATCTCTAAGCCTCGAGCGGTCACCTCGGACTCTGAGGGTGTGGCCAACCACCTACGAGGATCACGTGCGCCGATTGGCGAGTTGCACGATCCCGCGGGCGGGCACTGGCCCAGGCCGATAAGCGCGATGCCCACGTTTGGGTCATCAAAAGCCCAACACAATTAGCAGCAACAGCCGGCAGGCAAGAGACGGGAAAGAGGGGTAAAGATTTACCCTGCTATGCCGACGGAATAGCCCACGTCTGGATCATCAGAATGTTCAAAGTTGGCAGCTTCAGCGACCTATGCCCTACCCCATTCCTTTGCGAGAGCAGCAAGCAGAGGAGGCCTGGAAGGCCTCACGGGGGGGAGAGTGGTGATGGGAACATGGGGAAGGCTGGGATGCTCATACGACTGGAGTTGGCCAGTCGCCCTGGCAGCAACTTCGGCAGAGACAAGACCGCGCGCCACTAGAGAGCTCAGCCGTTCACTCGACTCTAGAATCCTCGATCCTACTACTGGCCTTTGCCCGTGTCCTTGCCGTTCGGCAGGCGGATGATCTCCCGCTCTAAGTGGGCCCCGCGGAGCCGCTCCCGTCAGCCTGGCACCCCCAGCCTGGCGGAAGAGGGCGGGGATCGTCGTCGCCAGCTCCTCGGCACAGGGTGCGTGTGGTCGAGGGCCCACGTGAAGTGTGCCATGTTCGGTTCCCCCTCCTGCTGCTTGTAGATCTTCACCTTGGACGCGCGCGCCAGCTGGCCCATCTCCTGGACGTCGAGCTTCGAGAGGTTCTCCATGGTCGTGCGCGCCTGATCCTGCGCCTCCCCGTCCGCGTACGCCGCCGTCTGGCCCGCCGACAGGAATGCTACGATGAGGGAGAGGTGCGGGCTGCCTCGATTCTCCCAGTCCACCTCGTCCCCGTTCTTGATGGCCTGACGCAGCTCCTTGCTGCGACCGTCGTAGCCTTTGCCTGCCCTGGCGGCGGCCTCGACATGCGGGCAATCCGCCTGCGCCATGTTCCTGTCGCGCAGCGCGGGTGTGACCTCCGCCAGCTCGCGCGAGTTGGCGAGGGCGAGGCGCGCCGCCGTCGCGATCAACGCCGCGACGTTCTTGCCCTTGGCGTTGCCTCCCGCCGCCGCGGCCCCTGCGGCCGCCGCCGCGCCGCCCTCCCCCGAGCCCGCGGCCGAACCCGCGGGCGGCGAGAGGTTGGCCCCGTCGCCCTCGCCCCTGCGTTTGTTGCGATGGTTCAAGACCACGTTGAACCAGGGGGGAAGGAGTGCGCCTGCAAGGGCCGACGCCTACTCGGGCATCGCGCGACCGATACTGGGCGGCCGCCGCGCTTCAAACAACAACTGGCAAGTGCTGAGCAACCGGGAGGCTGAGCCCGGCTGCACGCAGTCGGCATGTGTACTCGCAAGGTTCAAGTAAAGGCACCAGCGTGCGACCTCCTCGCGGCGGGCAGCAACCTCTTTGCATCGAAGCTGGTTAGTGCCGACCCGCGCACCATCAATTTGTGCCTGCCGCATATGCAAATATTGGTGGGGGCAAGCACTGCTGCCGCGATGTGCAAGTGGCGTGCAAGGCGAAGGTGATTTAGTACTTGTTCACGCGTGTCTGATTCGCCTCGACAGCCAGGTTCGGGACATGCGCAGAAGAGCGGGCGCGGATCATTGAGGCGCCTGCCAGGACTGGCCACTCGAAGGGGCAAGCGGGGGTTGGCCCGACCCTCGGGGCGAGGCGGCCCAGGCGGCAGGGCCGCCATCGTGAACGCCAGCCCGCTAATATTGGTGACATCGCTGGCCCGGGAGTCCACGCCAGCCTCCAGATCGACGAAAAAAGGCGGACGTCCGACGCGAAATCCTCGAATCATCCCTCATCCAAGAGACGTCCTGCCACTTGGAGATCGGTGCCGACCTGTCAATCCCAAGGGGGGGCACCTGGTGAGCTTGCCGCTCCTGGTGGTGCGGGGGGGGGGGGCTGTCCGAGGCGATTGTCAGGGCGCCGAACAGCGCTGCGAGTTCCTGCGAAGAGCCCACGGGGTCCTTAGCCCATCCCTAGTGCAGGCGAAGACGGCGGATATACATCACTTCCCGTGCGTCTACCATCTCCCAGTGATTGAAGCTATCCCGCGCGCTCATGCTGCGCGCGCGCCCCCCAATCCGCCGCCCCCCCCCCCCCCCCCCGTCGCGATCTTAACCCGGCTGGCCAGGCAGGAGCCCAGGGGGCCATGGCCCCTGGAGGTCAAGACGAAGGGCCCCGGGCACGAGCGGAAGGCGTTCTGGATACAACCATTCAGCAGCGAACATTTATACCGCCTGAACCAAGGCGGCGACCGCGCCCTTCCAAACGGAAAGAACGTCTGCCGAGCCACTCCGCACCTGCGCTCCGCTTCATTGCGACCGGCGCCGCGAAGCGTGAAGTGGGGCCCAACATATCTCGCCTCCTCCGATGGCCCGCCCGCCAGTCCAAACGCTGGCAATCCTCGCGACGCTCTGAAATAATGAGCACCCGAGCCAATGGCGAACAACCAGGAACTCCTGTTCGCCCAATTTCTGAGAAAGGCCGCGCTCCTCCAGAGCGCCAGTCAGCCCCTGCTCGGTTTCGGCGCGCTGCTGCATGCAACCCGCGGGCGAGCGCGAATTTCGGCCGGGGAGATTTTGCGCATGTCGCTGGTCTGCGCGAGGAGGGGGAGGTCGGCGCGACGCCCCCCCCCCGCCCCCTTCTCGGGGCCGCCGCCATCGGATCGCTACCCACGCGGCCCCTCCCTCACTTCGCGATCGGCCGAGCCAGCGTCTGCAGGGATGTGCTCACAACAAACTGGTCTCCCATTGCTCCTCCCCCTCCCGTCTTGACCGCCGCCCCCCTGTCCTCCCCCTGCATCGCTATAGCGGATAGTCTATATCGCTGGTGACAGAGCCTGGCGTCCTCAGGCCTCGCGCGCAACTGCGTGCTACAATCTATGCAACTCCAGGGGGCGCTCGCGAATGCTTAGTCATGTCCTTGACCGCCGCGCAGTGCGGCGCGGAGACGGCGACCCCGCGACCTGGCATGCCAACGCAGGTTTCTCGCACCTGCGGCTGGCCACGCATCCGCGATTCTGAGGCGCGCCATGCTCTGGAACCCTTTCGGCGTAGAAGGCCTTTCCCGCCGCGGGGGGGGGGGGCGCGCGCCACTCTGCGCCCGCGCGGGCCGTGCGTGCTGTTCTTCTGTAGCGCTGCCCCGTGTGCTCGGCGCCAATCAAGTTTTTCCAGGCCGAGGTCCCCAATTATCCGCGCGTTCAGCGCGCCCTGTTCATGGCCCGCTCCGCCCCGACCCTGCCTGTGCCACTCGGGGGAGAAACAGCGCGCGCCAGAGTTCCAGTGGCGTCGTGCCGTCAGGGACAGATCGTCGATTAGGTGCCCGTCTAACGAATCGCCGCATAGCTCTGGTATCCTGCTCCGCCAACTCCTCTACTTCTTGATTCGCATTGGGCCCGTGTCCTCCGCCCACTTCGCGTTGGCGTTGGCTCCTCTACTCGTCTCAGTTGACGACCTCAACCGGCATGCCTCCCCCCCTGCCCGCGCCCTCCCACGCTGAAGGCCATTCTGCGCAGGTAGGGGGAGAAGAACGAATGAGCTGGCTGTCTCTGCGTTCAGGGCCGAGCCGGCAGGGGGCCGCAGCGCGTGTCGCGCGCATGGCCTCCGCATGCCGTCCAGCTCTGAGGGCGGAAGTGGCCTCCTCCACCAGACGGCCTCGCTGAGCTTGCACATGCGCGCAGCGCTCCTTGGCCAGCCGCTGCGGGAGGTCCTTAAATTCAGGAACAATGCAGCCAACCTGTTCCTGGGAGGCGTCGGTTTTTTCGGGACTTGATCTGAGCCCTAGTGTGGAGAAGCTGCCGACGATGGCGACGCGACTCCGAATGCGTCTGGCTAGGACTAGGATGTTGAGCAAAGTTTGGTTGCCCAGCCCTCGCCACCGCCCCATCCAACGATTCGAAGATTTTGCCAGACATGCCCTATGATGCAGGAAGCCCATTGGAAGCCCTTGGAATTTCAGTTTGGCTGCCTCAAGGAAATCTGCCCGCCCCGCGCCCCGCCTCAAACAGTCCATCATGGCCGTGCGGTTCCAAGATGGTTGAGGCGCCTGCGCTTGGGGCCACCGCCCCCCTTTCAAAAACGGGAGCTCGAGGTGGATGGGGAAGTGGTCTTTGGGAACGGGGTCCTTGCCCGCTTGTAGTTTCGCGCCGAATCCCAACCGTGGCCGACAACATGTGACCTTGCAGTGGGCCCCCCTGGTGTACCTGATGTAGTCGATACGAGTCCCCGAAACACCCGATGTTGGTGAACAGAAACTCGGGATAGGTTTCCACGTAAACGTGTTGCCCGCAACCAGTTGGTCAATCTCCATGACCTCACGGAGCCGATGTCCCGCTCCGCGACAAAGCCGCATACTGGTAGGGCAACCCACCGCGAGAGAAAACGAGACATGCCAGCCTTCGCGTCCTCAAGTTTCACCTACATGGTAAAATCGTTAAAACGTCACCAAGCAGTAACCTTCAAATCGCCACTGCACAAACGTACCCGCTCCGATCAGCGGGAGCGGGTTGAAGAGCAAGCCGGATCGAGATAATACGCACGTCAAATTCACTCTTGATGCGCACAACAGTGCACCATCACCCCCCGGCTGCAACACCGAACGCCCGCAACTCCGATTCGCGAACGCCTCACTGGTTTCGGGTGCCCCAAGAACTAGACAGCCTAGTTCCCGACGGCGAACGACTTCTTGTCCCGCCAACCTGCTAGTACACAGAGTTCCTGTCGGCAAGATGAAATCATAGTTGCCCGTCTCCGCTACTATTTCCTCCATGCGTGACCCCGTCACCGCTAACGGGTTGAAGCCCAGAGTGAACAAGGTCATTGCTGCAAGACCCCAGTAGCGCATAACGTGTGCGGACACCCCCACGAGAAAACTTAAGTGCGGTGTGCCTCGCCCCCTGGCGGACGAAAACACTTGGACCAGGGGGGCTGGAGGAGGAGGAGGAGGAGGAGGAGGAGGAGGAGGAGGAGGAGGAAGAGGAGGAGGAGGAGGAAGAGGAGGAGGAGGAGGAAAGTGAGGAAACTGTCGATGACGAACGCCCGCGCCTCCCGCTGCATCTGGCCGTACTGGATCGCCTGAGCGAGGTCGCGAATGGCCTCGGCGGCTCCGAATGCGCAAGGCTTGGGGGGTCGGCGTCGAACAGGTCAGGGAAGGTGGGGAGCCGAGGAGGGGAGCAGCAAGGGGCAAGAGGGCGAGCACGAGGGCAGGACGAGGGGAGAGGACCAGGGGAGCACGAGGGCGAGGAGGACGAGGCGAGGACGAGGGGAGGACGAGGACGAGGGGAGAGGACGAGGCGAGGAGGAGAGGACGACGGGAGGACGAGGGCGAGGGAAGGGAGGACGTGGGAGAACAGCAGGCCAAGGGGGATGAATATTTCGAATGTTTTTTTGGGGGGCGAAGCCTAAACGTTCCTTGTGGCGACCACTAAGCCTTCGCCTGCTCCTCCTTCGCCGCAATTTTGGCAGGGGAGGGGGGGGGGGGAGAGGAGGGGAGGGGGAGAGGAGAGGAGGGGGAGTAGGAGGGAGGGGGCATAGGACGACACTGACGATGAGGGAGCGGGAGGATGGGGGGAGAAGGAGGCGGAATGAGAGTAGGGATGGTGAGAAACAGCAAGGGGGAATAACTCATCTGAACCGAACGCCGACCCTCGCTAACCGCTCTTCGAGCGGCACGCATCACTGCATGAATTGCTTAATCGACTGCTAAGCCAGCCAGGCAACGAGGAGCGCGGGATGACGGTAAAGAAGACAAATCAGAGCGAGAGCACCACCACATGCCATTTCAATGATAGCACAACTACAATTAACAACGACAATCGCACAAACAATGCGACAAGCAAGACGAGGCAGCACCGGTGAGAGCAATAACGTAGGGAGGATGATGGGGAGGACCAGGCGGTGATGATGAGAGGGAGATGTGGAAAGAACCATGATGAGGCGGAATATAAGTACGAGGAAGAACATGGAAGCGGAGAAAGAAGGGGAGGAAGGAGGAGGAGGAGGAGGAAAAAGAGCAGGAGGAAAAGGAGGAGAAACAACATAGAATTTGCGGGAACTCAGTCACCCGCACAGCCCGCTTTTAGGGGGGGGAGGGAGCGCGCAACTATTCCCCTCAGCGGGTGCGGCTTACGCGGGTCGGCTTGGGCTCGACGCGCGCTAACGAGGCGCTGGCGCCTGGAGTCGGCTGACCGCGACCAGCCATGGCGAACGGACCTCCTCATAAGGGGAATCTTCGTTAAGTCGAGGAGGAATGTTCTCTTCATAGCTTCTGGGAGAGCAAGGGCGCTCCCATCGATGCAGATACGATTGATCGTCTCAACGGAGGTATTGACGCGAAGCTTGAGCAGTTTTCCGGTGATGGAGGCGGAAGAGCAGCCCATGCAGGGCGCTGCCCTCAGCCTCACCAGCAGGACAGGGGTGCCTCTACCTGGGCCAGGCAGGCGAATGCCTCCAGCAACACAGCATTGGCTCAAAGCTGGACGGCAGCGGCTTCGGACTGGGCAGCTACGACCTAAAGCAGGTCAGCAACGGCCACAGAAGCAAGACAACAATGGCCTCAAGCGCGATAGATACGGCCCTGTGCAGGACAGCACATGCCTTCAGCAGTTCGAGAACGGCCGCGCGCTGGACAGCTACGGCCAGGAGCTGAACGGCAGCAGCCCCACGCTGGCCCACAAGTAGCGCATCTGCGGCCTCGCTCTCAACGACGACGGCCTAAAAGTTGGCTGCTATGGTTTTGAGCTGGACAGCTACGACCTAGGCAGAACAACAACGGCCACAAGACGGACAACAACGGCCTCCCGCAGGACGGCAGCGACCCGGAGCTGGAAAGCAACAGCCTCGGGCAGAATGGCAGCGGCTTCAATCTGGGCAACTGCGACCTCAAGAAGGACAGCGACAGCCTCACGCAGGACAACCATGGCCTCCAGCAGGACAATAGTGGCCTCAGGAAGGTCTGCTGCGGCCTCGCGCAGGACTGCAGCGACAGCGCGCAGGACACCTGCGGCCTCGACCTGGACGGCAACGGCCGCATGCAGTACAGCAGCGGCTTCCAGCAGGACAGATCAAACCATCGAGCTACCATCTGGAACGCTAAACAAAGAACGAAGTGTTGTTGTTTCTGGCCACGGCGAGCCTAGGCCACGAACAAGTTCCCCGATCTGGATCTATGGAACGGCCCAACAAACAGAGCCCCTGCTGAGCCCGAAGTGGTCCTCAATTTCAGCGTCTTGACTGTAGGACCTGAAGGACAAAAACTGCTTCACCCTTCACCCATGACACAAGCGACCCTGATGAGCAGGACTCGAAGGAATGCGTTACGCCAGGGATCTACGACGTGGGTGAGGCCCATCGGAAACTGAATGATGAAGGCTGGGGCGACGCGGCGGCAGACTCTCATGGAGAAGAGATTGACTCCAACGAGATCACCACCCCGAACTCCCAACTACCTGGACGAAGCGGGCTTCGCCTTCAACCCAGGGGAAGCCGAGCGGAACAGCGACGACATCGCGCAAGGCGGCTACACGTCGTTCATTTCTAACCGTGCTCATTTCTAACTGTGCTCGCTTCTACTTGTTCCTGGCCCCCTGGTGGCCACGAAGAGGCCCAGGATAGCACAATTGGAAATGAAAGGATCTTGGCCCCAAAAATAAGCAAAGAACTTTCGAATACTCAGAAGTGAACCATGTGTACGTCTGCCACGGCATGAAGCAGGGCAGCCACGACCTGGAGCAGGCCGGCCAGCTGCGGCCTCGGGGAGGACTGCTCGGCGTGGAGCGAGGGGGGGACATGAGACGGGGAAGGCCCCCTTAGAGGGCGGGGGGACTCCTCGGAAGCCCTCGCGCCTTCTTCTGAGAGGCGTTCTGCGCTTTCGGGGCAGGCCTCAGGAACCTTCTCACAAGGCCGGGGCACCTCTGAACCTTCTGAGGAGGCCCGCCCCGTCTCGCTCCTCCCCCGGGCTCGCCGCCGAACCGCAACGCCCTCGAGCACGCCAGCAGCGACGAACCCGCAGGGCACCGACGCTCCCGAGAGGTGACGCCGACGATGGCCCTAGGGTGCAGAGCACCCGGTGCACCGAGACGCTGGGGTCCTACTCGGGAGCGGCCCAGAGGGGGGTGTCCAAGAGGGGGGGGTGCAGATCATGACCGGCGGCATGTGCGCGGCCCAGCGGGGGGGCCTGGGACGTAATGAAACAAGAGGCGCCATGAAATCTGAGGAATAATCATGGCCCCGCCATGATATCCCCCCCCCCCCCCTAGTCATCACCCCCCTCTTTTCCGCCCCCGACCTACGCCGAAGGGCCCGCGGACCTGCCGGAGAGCACGCCCGACCAGCAGCGCGCCAGCCCTGCGCGAGGGCGCCACGGGCCGCGCGGCAAGCGCGGGGCGCGGGCGCCGAGGCCATGGCGCCACGGCCCCGCGGACCGAGGGGCGCTGGCCGCCGCTGCGGACCTTTCTTTTCCGGCGCAGCTGGCGTTTCTTGGAGGAGGAGGAGGAGGAGGAGGAGGAGGAGGAGGAGGAGGAGGAGGAGGAGGAGGAGGAGGAGGAGGAGGAGGAGGAGAGGGAGGAGGAGGGGAGGAGGAGGAGGAGGAGGAGGAGGAGGAGGAGGAGGAGGAGGAGGAGGGAGGAGGAGGAGGAGGAGGAGGAGGGAGGAGGAGGAGGAGGAGGAGGAGGAGGAGGAGGAGGAGGGAGGAGGAGGAGGAGGAGGAGGAGGAGGAGGGGGAGGGAGGAGGAGGAGGAGGAGGAGGAGGAGGAGGACGAGGAGGAGGAGGAGGAGGAGGAGGAGGAGGGAGGAGGAGGAGGAGGAGGAGGAGGAGGAGGGGGAGGAGGGGGAGGAAGAAAGCTCACGGGAACGGAGGCGCCAAGACTGTGTGCGGAACGGGGGGCACCAAATGGTACAGGCACGGCTGCAGCGACTCCAGCGGTGGCGACGAGGGCCTCCGCGGAGGCCCACAAAGACGAAACCGGGGCGAGGGTAGCGGCATCGGGGTGATCTGGAGGCCATCCCAGCCCCCCCCGGAAGTCCCGGGGAGACCTCGGGCCATGGGGCACCTCTGGCAACGCCCCGCTGTGGGCCCGCACCCCCGGGCCATTCTGGCGGCACAGACATGGAATCCGTCGGAGCTCCGCAAGGATTTCTTGGATCGGCGCCGTGCCTCCCTCCCTGGCTCGCGGATCGCGCCAGGGGCGGCGCCGGAGGCGCCGCCAGGGGGGCCAGTGCAGATCCACGAAATCCGCGCGAACTCCGAAAGTCTCTATTTATACCATCTAACTTCGATGCAGTAGGAGCTCGACCACAAGACACCTCCCACAACAAGCACGTCCACTGATTTTTGGCGTGGGAACGTCATGCTCTCCACCCAAGAAGTCCAGGGCACCCTGGAGGCAAGCAGGGTGTTTCTTGGCATGGGCTTCCACTTTGACGCGCAGCTTGCTCCAGCGTCCTGGGCACGACGGTGGACGCCAGCCGAGATGTCTACCAGCGCCCCAGGTGCCTGGCCTCCTCGGGGCTGCCGTAAGAGCACCTCGACACCCTCGGGGCCGAGGGCAACTCCGGCAACACCCGGCTGTGGACCCGCACCAAGCCCAGACCCCCGACGCCGTGACTTTCTGCTGACTTGGGCCCCCCAGCAGTCCGGACCCTTCCCCAGGACCGCCGTCTCTTCGCTGGGCCCCGTCTTGGGTAACGCGTGCCCTTGGCGGTCCTCGGGGCGGGACGCTAGCTTTCGGCGATGCTCCGAAGGTCCACCTCGCCCCGCATTCCGTCCCCTTCGGGATTTTCCTCCGAACCTAGAGTAGATCGAGGTAGCTCAGTCGACCAGAGGTTCTTCGGAGCGCTTGTCTTGTCTTGTCTTGGACCGCCGCCTCACACTGCAGCGTTTCTGGACGGCCCTGAGGTCCAGCGAGGCCCCCGAGGCCGCAGATAGCGGCAGGCCTCCAGCTGGGACTGCTTCGCGACGCGAGAGGCTCCGTGGGACGGACGGCCACCCCAGCGAAGGGCGTGCAGCCCGCTCGGGCGTCCCGGGGTCACGACGGCGGACGGCGGCCGAGATCTTATGCCGGCGCCACAGGCGCAGTGAATCGGGGGTCCTGAACTCCATGCTGATGATGAAACTTGCCAGCTTCCCCACAGAGGGAAAGGGGACCCCACCAAGAAGGGAAGCACCAGCCATGGAGGCGAAAGGAGGGGAGAAAGAGGCGAAAGGAGAGAGGACGAACTCCCTGGGTGGGCATCTCCGATTGCTCTGCCAGCCTTTCAAACATCTTAACACACGACGGACGCCTCCGAGGAGGAAGGACAGCTGACGGGAGGACGGGGAGAGTGGCAGGAAAAACCCGATGGCCCCCTTCGCGCTTGCACGGGCCGTCACACGGATGTCGCTCGTGTCGCGTCTGTTCGGGGACGCGGGCACAAAGGGCTCGAGCCCAGTGTACTGGGGGGGCTTCGTGTACACCTGGTGGACTGGCGACTGCACCATATGCACCCCCACCTCTCCACAGCACTTTTGAAGTATCCGTCCCACTGTGGGCCCCACTAGACCTCGTCGTCTGCTGCAGACTGGCCTGTGCACCGCTCGTGTTTTGCCCGTGGTGGCTAGACTTCAGAAAACACGGGTGCCGACGACACATCCAGCCAATCGCCATGATCCGCCTCTTTCCCGGCAAGAAAAGCGGATCACGGGTGGAGGAGCAGGAGGAGCAGGAGGAGCAGGATGTGGAGGAGGGAGGCGCGAGCGTCGTAGCAGGAGGACCTGCGAGCGAGCGGCCCTCCCATCAGATCCGCGGGCGGGCGCGAGACGCTGCGGCGGCGGCCAGCTCGAGCCCCTCACGAGGCATACGAGGCGGGGCCGCACCCTTCTTCGCCTTCGCGGGGTGTCCTCTCGGCGGGGGGGGGGGACGAGGGACACCAAGAGGCACAAGGGGGAAGGCGGAGGGGGAGGCCGTCGTGCTTTTTCATCCGGGGAACTGGGTCGGGAGGCTCTGGGGCGTCTTTCCGTGGACCCCGGCAGCAAATGAAGCAGTTCAGAGCAGAGCGCGCCGGTGTCCGCCGTGCCGGCGGGGCCTGGAAGACCGGGGCGGGCGGGCTGGAGGCCGCAGTTGTGGATCTACCGTGGATGCCGTGTGCTGTGTGTGCGTGCCGTAGAAGAGCTGCTTCTAAGGTGTGCTGTGTGTGTGTGCTGTGTGTGCTGTGTGTGCTGTGCGTGCTGCTGGGTGCTGCGTAAAAGAGCTGGGTGCTGTCTGCTGTGTGCGTGTGTCCTTTAGACGCGCGCGCCCTCTTCCCTGACCTTCCTACGCCCTATCGCTGCGCATGTGGCCGTGACGCCAAAAGGTGTGTGTGTGTGTGTGTGTGTGTGTGTGTGCGTGTGTGTGTGTGTGTGTGTCGGTGTGTGTGTGTGTGTGTGTGGGTGTGTGCGTGTGTGTGTGTGTGTGCGTATGTGGTGCGTGCGTGCGTGCGTGCGTGCGTGCGTGCGTGCGTGCGTGCGTGTGTGTGTGTGTGTGCTATGTGTGCTATGTGTGCTATGTGTGCGTGCTGTGCGTGCTGTGCGTGCGTGCTGTGCGTGCGTGCTGTGCGTGCTGTGCGTGTTGTGCTGTGCGTGTGCGTGCTGTGCGTGCGTGCGTGCGTGTGTGTGCGCGTGTGTGCGTGTGTGCGTGTGTGCGCGTGTTTGCTGTGTGTGCTGTGCGCCTTGTGTGCTGGTGCGACCTGGGGGCCCTCTGGGGGGCGGCCCTCGGGGTGTGCGCGCTCCCGGCCTCGGGCGCGGGGCACGGCCTCGGGACGCAGGCCGGTCGGCAGAGAGGCGCTTTTCCAGGGGGCGGCAGACTCGCCATCGCTCGGACGTCCATTCCCTGTGCTTTTTTCGGTTTCGTGCGTGGATTTTTCGCCAAATGATGAAGGATGCTCCTCGATGGCCCTCGCCGAGAAAAAAATGCACACCTCCGAGTGATGCCAGGCAGATGGGCCGCCTCCGACGCGCCGCGACTCCGCGCGCTTCGGCGGTGGACAAACCTCCCTTCAAAAAAAAAACGCCCTCTAAGTGAAAAACGGCCTGGGGCAAAAAACCGACGAGCCCTGACCCGCAAAAGTGACGGCCGCGGCGCCCTCTCGCGAACCGAGAACAGCCAATCCGCTAATTAATCGACGCGTCAGGGTAGGAGGTCTGTCCACCCCCGCTCGCTGGGGGCTCAGGAGCGGCCTGGCTGCAAAGGCGCGGTGACAATCTGCGGCACGTGTTGAGCAGGGACCGACCGCCCCGGCATCCCTATAGGCCTACCACGAAATATTCTTATAATCAAACAAAATTCATGCTCAAACAACAAAGCCGCTGTTCTCATAACAGGAGGCCGATGGATCAAATTCAGACGGTCTCGGCCAGAAATGTTCTCAGAGCGGACCACACGAGTTTCTCTCAGAACATTCTCGCGTGGGCCTTTAGGCAAGCCAACACGCTACGCCACTGCTTGACACGTCGTCGGGGGGCGGCATGCATGCCGCTTCCGACGCGCCGCGGCTCCGCGAGCCCCGCGGCCCCGCCCGTTGGGGGTTGAGGACCGGCCCGTCGGCAAAGACACGTCGTCCGTGGTTGGCGGCGCGCGCTGGTGGGCAGGTGGAGGGCGAAGGCTTCTTGGAAGGAGACTGCTTCTCAGAAGGCGCCGCCCTCACACCTCTGGACGAGGCCCGCGCCTTCTCCGAGAGCAGGGGGTGCTCCTGAGAAGCCTTCCTGACCCTCCTCTGCGCGTGGCCGAAGGGGGCGGCGCGTGGGCCTCCTCCGACGCGCCGCTGCTCCGACGCGCCCCCCGCGGAGCAGCGGCCTGGCCCGCTGCGGCTCCCCGTGCTGAGGTGGGGGGGGGGCTCCCGGCGCGGCAGGGGCACTGTGCGCCGGCGCGGCAGGGCCACGGCCTCTCGGGGCCGGCCGGCCGCCTGCGGGGCCCCGGCGGCGGCCCTGCTGTCGCAGAGGCCTCCCGACACGGGGGTCGGAGTGCAGTCAAAACGTGTAGCAAGGACGGGCGGCAAGGAGGGGCGCCCAGCGAGCACGGGGACGGGCCGCAGGGGCCAAGGACACGGGGGTGCCCCAAAGGAAGGCGCGCGTCCTGGTTTACCAGGCGCGTTGACTGTAGACGGGGTCGCCGTCGCCGTCGCCGTCGCCGTCGTCGTCGTCGCCGTCGTCGTCGTCCCGGGGAATGGGTCGAGACCTCTGCGGTTCCACGACAGGAACACAATCACGACGTCGGGGGTCTGGGTCGTGTGCCCGTGCTCCCGTGCTCTCGCGCCCTCGTCGTCTGCCCCCGCGTCGCAGTCGTCTTCGCCCTCGCCTCGTGCTGCTCTTGCCCGCTCGCCCTTGAGGGGCGTTGGCCCCGCTGCAGGACGCCGGGCACCTGCTAGAGTGAGATACAGAACAGACAAATGCACCCCAGAAGAGCACCCCGACGAGCGAAGTCGTTTAGTAAACGAACCCAAGGAAGGAATCGAACAGGGAAGGGCTGTTTAGTAAACGCCCAGGGCCGTTTAGTAAACGCCAAGTATCGGGGTCGGGGTGCTTTTTCCTCCCTTAGTGAGAAGGCCGAGCTGTCTGGCTGTAAGGGGCGCCGCGGTGTGGATTGCTCTTATTGTTCTTCTTGTCGTCGTCGCCCCGAGGCCCGCCCCGCGATCCACTCGCGACCATCCCGGCGACGCCGACCACCCACCCGCGACACAGCCGCAGCGCTTTGGAAATAGTCGGCGCCTATTATACGGCGGGTTGTTCTGCACTGGCGCTGGAGAACACCTCTGTTCGCCCCCGCCTACGCGACCCGGCCACACAATGTTGCGCTAGTTGGCCACCAACTCACTTGTCCGCAATGGCATGGCCTGGGTACATCCATGCTCGTCCTCCTCTCGAGGAGGACGAGGAGCAGGAGGAGGAGCAGGAGGAGGAGGAGGAGGAGGAGGAGGAGGAGGAGAAGGAGGAGGAGGACGACGACGACGACAGCGACGACTCGAAAGCGAACGAATCGCCGTCGCCATCGTCGCTGTCGCGCCGCCGCTCACGCCTCGCCGTCGTCATCGCCGTCGCCACCGCTGGCGCCGCGGTCGTCGCTACCGTCGCCTTCGCCGGCGCCTTCGCCGTCGCGGCCGCCACCGCCATCACGTCAACTTCGCTGGCGCCGCCGTTGACGCCGCTGGGGCGTCGTTGTCGCCGCCGCAGCTGCTGGTGCCGTCGTCGTCCGTCTGGCGGCCGTCCGTGCGTGAATCCGCCGCCCGCCCAAAACGTCGTCATCGTCGTCGTCGTCGTCGTCGTCGTCGCAGTTGTCATCGTCGTCGTCGTCCGGCCGTCGTCCCTCGCCCGGGCACCGTGGCCGCCGCTCGCCGCCGGCGACGTCCCGCCGCCGCCGCAGCCCGTCAGCCAACGCTCCCGCCCTGTCCACCCGAGGGGCCAGAGGGGGGAAGCCAGGAGGAGCGGGGGGGAAGCACATCGTGGCCCGAAAAATGTGAGGGACGAAAAGAAAAGGGTCTTACGCGAGAAGCCATGGCGACCTGACGCCGCGGCTCTCGTAAACCGCCAGCGCGACATACCGCGTGGAGGAGAGGGCGCTTACGCGGGAAACTTACGCGCGAATGTCTGCATGATCGACCCCGATGTCTTCCGTCGCTCATGCGGCGCAGACGAGAGGGGGTGAGGGGGAGCCAGAGGGGGTGGGCGTCACGACATCCTGGAGACTCCCCTCGTCCTCACGCCTCCATTCTTCGACGCCTGCTGGTTATCGGGCCTCAATTGTCTGGCGGCCGTTGGAGACGGTATCGGCAACCCCAGAGAGCTCTCCACGAGGCGCAGCTACTAGAAAGAATCCCGAGGTGATAAAACCTTTCATCAACGACGACACCCGAAAACCTTGAACATCGAACCCGAGGGGTGATATCCCCCCACTACCAATCGATCGGAAGTTCTGACACCGCGGGGATCGTTCAACTTTGCACGATCGACCGATTCTGGGTGGCCAGCGGCGTTCCACGTTGAACGCCAGCGGCGAGGTCGCCGCTGGTCGACACGACGCGAACCTACCGTATGCCGCTTCTCCTCCGTTGACTCCTGGATCCTGGACGCCCTCGACGCCCGAGCGGGACCCCCGGCTCCACCGGCGGGGCCTGCCGCACCGTCAGTCCGAGCCCTATCCCGCTGGCGTGGCCCCGCCCTACTGGCCCATTTATCCGCCTAGGTGGGGATGCCTGCTGTCCCCTTCGGGTTTCGCGGGGCCTATCCCCACCTGGGGGGGGGGGTCTGGTGGGGCCGTGACGACGTGGTGGTGGCATGGCCCAGAGGGGATGGGGGCAGGTTAGACGATGTTGACCTTGGTCCTCACCCCCGCCCTCTCTTGGACGCCCCCTCGCCATCGCTCGGACGTCCATTCCCTGTGCTTTTTTCGGTTTCGTGCGTGGTGTTTTCGCCAAATGATCGAGGATGCTCCTGGATGGTCCTCGGCGAAGGAGAAGTGCACACGTCCGAGCGATGCCAGGCCCCCGACTTCCGAGCAGCCCCCCCCCCCCTCCCACCCGCAGAGGCCCGCAGACCCCCTTCCCCAGGCGCAGTTCTGCCCCCCCGGATCCACCGTTGGTGGCCCCTGGGGCCCGACCACGGACCCCACAGGCCGAAATGAAGGAAGCACGCCCAGGCAGACATTATCCCAGTGCGACCCTACCTAGGAGTTGGAGGATCTAGGAAAACAACATCTATATGAAGCTAAGTTAAGCTAAGAGGAAGCTGAGCCGAGATGAAACAAGCTAAGCTAAGATGAGATAAGCAACGCTAAGCTGAGGGAACGTCACTGGGGGAACCGCGGGGCGGATACCGGGGGAACCGCCCGGGGCGAGTTGCACTGCCCGGCCCTTTAAGCATACCGAGTAAGAACCCTTCTAGGCAGAGACTAGGTAGGGAAAAAACCATCTCGTCGGAAACCTGTGACCACACACCCCAAGTCCCCAACCCCCTCTTGGACGCCCCCAAACGCCCGAGCGGGGCCCCCGCTGTCGCCGCCACCGTCATCGACGGTCGCGGTGGGCATCCTCTGCGAGGTGGGAAAGTGATTATCCATATCCACCGCTTGTGGAACCGACGTCCTGGGACTCCTGCGGGCGGTGGACATGGATATATGTTGGCCCCAGGTGCCCCCCAACATATCCATGTCCACCGCCTACCGAGGTCCCCGAAGATCGATCCCTCAGGCGGTGCTTATGGATAAATCCCCGCCTCGGATCCTCGTCGTCGTCGTGGTCATCTCGTCGGCGGCGGCGGCGGCAGCAACGGCGCCTGCCGCGGCGGCCCGCGGCGCTGGCCGCGGCGCCGTCGGCTCGCCCGTGGCCGCCGGCGCCCTCGCGACCAGGGCCTTCTTGCGGTCGGCCGCGCTGGCCCTCGCCGCGGGGGGTGGGGCGGGGGGCGAGTCGCGGCGGCGGGGCCGCGCCTCACCCTCGACTCGCCACCGCCGCCTGCCTGCCTACCTGCCTTCGGGGTCCTCGGGTGGGGAAGTTGTCGCTGACTCTTGGAGGTTTTCTCGCTTTGGGCTCCTCGCCATCGCTCGGACGTCCATTCCCCGTGAGATTTTTTAGGGCTTCGCGAGGGTATTTTTCGCAAGATGGCCCAAAATGCTCCTCGATGGTCCTCGCAACGAAACGGCAAAGAAAAAATGCACACGTCCGAGCGATGCCAAGGCCTTCGAGGGCCTCCCGAGGGAAGTTGTCGTTAGCTCTTGGAGGGTTTCTCGCCTCGGGCTCCACTTTCGAGGGTTTCGGGCGGTTTCGTCAGCTCGCGGCGGCTCTCCAGCCTCGGGGTGCGTTCCAGCAACTGCGCCTCGCCGAGGGCGTTCCAGGGGTGCCCGGATCGTCCCGGACGGGCGCGCCGGCGGGGTGGTCGGTAGGCGGCGTCCGGTGCGAGGTGCGCATGACACGGGAAACGTGACGGCACTGGCAGGATGCGGCCGCATGAGGCCCATGTCTTCGCCCCACCTCCTGCCCACGCTGCTGCTGCTGCTGCTGCTGATCCCGCCTGTGCCACTCCTCCTGCAGGTCACGCACTCCAGCGTGGCACGAAGTCTGCGCACGTGTCGAAGTGTCACAGCGCCTTTGCACACTGCGGCCGAAGGATTGAGTCATAACAGGACGGGCAGGGACGACTAAGAGAACACTTATTATTTCTCCTGGGCAGCTGGCTGCAGCCTCGAGGCCTCGACGTCGATTGGGCGCGAATCAATGGGGGGCGGCGATCAGTGGAGGCGGAAGAATGGTGCCCTTTTGGGCCCTGAAGGCCCCCTCTGGTATCTTAAAGGGCTCCTCTAAGGATCCCCAAAGCTCCGTTTCTGCAGACCTCGCTGCTCTCCCAGTTATCGCCCCCCTCTTACGCGGCCTCCACTGCGATGACGACGACGACGACGAGCTAGGAATCTCTTCTCAGTCGTCCCTTTCCCCACTGGGCGCTGCGACCTCCCCGGGCATCTCTTGACCGCTTGGTCGCAGTGGCGGACCCCCCGAGGTCTGGACCCCTTTCCGCGCCCCGGCGTTTCATCCTGAGTTGTCTTTGGGCAGCCCCCAGGCATGGTAAATGGCGAACGAACAGCACCCACCCACACCCACAGAGGCCGGAGGGGGCCATGGGTGCGCGTCGTCTGGTGGAGGTCTCCGCTCTAACGGGAGCCCCCCCCCGCGGTCCGACAACCCGCACCCATGCCCATAGCCAGTCCTCCTACCCCCATGGGTACACGTCGTTCATTGATAATCGTGCTCATTTCTAATTGTGCTCGTTTCTAATTGTTCCTGGCACCCTAGTGGCCAGGAAGAGGCCCAGGACAGAACAACTAGAAATGAAAGGATCTTGGCCCCCCAAAAAAAACAAAGAACGTTCGAATGCTTAGAAATGAACAGTGGATATGGGTGTGAGGGGGAGGAGGAGCAGAAGGAAGAGGAGGAACAGGAGGAGGAGGAGGAGCAGAAGGCCGAGGAGGAGAAGGAGCAGAAGGAGGAGGAGGAGGAGCAGGAGGAGGAGCAGGAGGAGGAGGAGGAGCAGGAGCAGGACAGGAGGAGGAGAGGAGGAGGAGGAGGAGGAGAGAGGAGGAGGAGGAGGAGGAGGAGGAGGAGGAGGAGGAGGAGGAGGAGGAGGAGGAGGAGGAGGAGGAGTGTGCTGTTCGCTCGTCAGCAGAGGGCCCCTGGGAGGCCCGAGGCTACCCGGGGAGCCGCCCGCCGTGCTCCCGTCCTGTGGTCTGCGGGGGGCACGCGGGCTCGCCCTCGGGGGGCCTGCCGCCGACCTATCAGCAGCGCAGGGGCGCTTCCGAGTCGATGCACACCCTCCGCCCGTCCCCCCCCCCTATCAGCCTCGGCCGCGCGCTGCGCGCAGCGCGCGCGCGCGAACGCCGCAGCCTTCTTCTGTGTGGCCTGGGTGCGACCAGTCCTCCACCTCTCCCCCTTCCGTGCCTCCCGAGCTCCGCGTCTTGAGGTGCGGAGGAGGCCCTCGGAGCTCCTGGAAGCCTGCCGCGATCCGAGGGAGCCCATAGAGAGATCACGTCGAGGAGGGGGCGGAAGGTCCGGGGCGGGAGGGAAGCCACGCCCTCACAGCAGCACGCTGCAGCCGCCCCTGCCCTGCTCGCGAGGGGGCCCAGGGCCTGTGGAGGTCCGCGGCGCGCGGCGGGGAGCGGCGGGCCGTGTGCACGGCCAGCGCGCCGGCAGCCAGAGACGCTTCTGTGGCGCGTCGCGGCGGCGGCAACCCCGGCAACACGCTCTGCCCTGCAAGCGGGTGGCATGTCGTTCCGCTCCGTGTGGAGGGAGGCTGGGCGCAGCTCTGGAAGGAAGACGCCCTGGAGCGGGGAGGTGGGCAACTCATCGCGCCCCAGCGTGGTGGGCCAGAACCGGCGCAGTGACACGCTGAGCCAAAGTTCCTGACCCTAGAGAAAAGGGTCCATGCAACTTTCGCCTTCTTTAGGAGGCAAACGCTGGGAGGCCCTCGCGAGAGCGACTCTGCGCGCTGTTTAGCCTGATTGAGGGGCCGCTGAGCTGGATTAGCCCAGATTGCAAGCGAAGATTTCTACTGGGTTAAGCTAGGTTGAGCAGGATTCTGCCAGCTGGGTCCAGTTCTCGACCAGGGATGCACACCAGCGCCGATGCCGAAGTCAGCCTCCCAGGGGCTGCACCCGCACCGGGGGCGGCGTCCACGAGGGGGGCGTCCAAGAGGGGGGGGGCCCAAGTCATGGTCGGCGGCATGGGCGCGGCCAAGCAGGGGGTTGGGCGCAGGGGACGCACTGAAACACGAGGCGGGGACCACGAGTTCTCGGGAGAGATGTCATGGCTGGGGCCAGGGAGACCAACTTGTACCCAGCCGCCCGTCTACTCTCCAGACCTCTCCTGGGGTGCGTTCTGCCCAGGATTTGGATGCGAATCCAGCGGTGGCACCGACCCTGATCTTCCAGAGTTCTAACAAAAATCCACCGAAAGAGACTGCTCCCTTACAACGACATTGAGCAACGTTGTAGTTGAGTCAAACGGAAGCCCCTTCCCGTTGATCCCTTCCCCGCCAGGGAGGGGCGGTCCCGGGGGTGGGGTCCCGGGGGGGGTCCCGGGGGGGATCCCAGGGGGGTCCCGGGGCAGATACGACTCCCCCCTGGGCGGTTCGGGGTCCCAGAGAAGCCCCAAGACGCGGCAAAAGGGCCCCAAGATGTCTCCAAGACGGTCTTCGAGGGCCCCGAATTACCAAAGTATCGGTCCAAGTCGCCAAAGTAGTAACCTCCAGACGGCTCAAAAGGTTTCCAAAACGCAAGGGGCCTCCAAGAGGACTTCCAAGACGGCCCCAAGGGGCAAAAAACGCTGATTCCCCGTAGGTTTTTGAAAGATTTCAGCATTCTCGCCTTATCAGCTTCCCTACGCTCAAAGACAGGCCAAGAGGCCTCCAAGACTTCCCCAAGATGGCTCAAAAGGCCTCCAAGAGAGCTCCACAACGAGTGAAGCCGAATCGAAACTTCATTGAACGGTCTGAAGGGTCAGCTGAGGGCACCTGGGATTTCATGAGGCCCGAACTGTGTGCGTGGTGTGCCGAATTGAAGCTCCCTTCAGCCGTCTCGAGAGCCAACGGATGATCGACCCCCGGAGATCCGTGTGGCACGAAATGCGCAACACGTAAGTCTGGCTGCAGCCCCGCGAAGCCGTGTTGGGGGCCAGCTCACACAATGATGCACCGAGTGCATGAGGGGTGTGCCGACTTCAGGCTCCGCGGCGAATGGAGCTACGAATACGTTACATTCTGACGTGCCTCAGAGGCCTGGGACGCAGGAGATGCGCGAGAGGCGTGCCGCCTTGAGGCCCTCGTGACCCTGGAAACACATTGTACTCGATTGCTACGTTCGCCAGGAGCTGACGCGATGGGCTGGTCGAGTGCGCGAAGCCGCTCCCAGCATGAAGTCATCCTGGCCTGCGGGCCTACTGATGTCATCGTGCTACCATGAGGAACGCCAGATAAGAAACCGCGCGGCTTTTCTGGTCACGGCGAACCTCGGCTACGAATAGGTTTCCCAACCTAGATCGAAGGAACGGCCCGAAACCAAAGCCCCTCCTGAACCCGAAGTGGTCCTTATTTCAGCGTCTTGACTATATCCTCCACGCGCTGCTCGCCGGTGCATCCTCCAAGAAGTAGCCCCATCCTCGGGCACAGGGGGTATGCGCTGAGAGGGGACAAGCAGTTCTGAGTCGCAACATCTTCTGGACAATGCCAATTCTACTCGTCTCTCGCCACTTTCTGTTCGGGACCCGCACGCCCCCTTCCCCCAATTTCGCGGCGGTGTGGGACAAAGTGGGCGTGCATATGTTGCCACCTTGATTTCGAGCATGTGCTGCATACGTGTCCTGGTCATGCGTTTTGCCTTGTTCTAGTAAGTAATTGTCGGACCCCCGATTCAGCGCCGTGCTGCCAATTGCTACCAATCGCAATCGCCCGCTCGGCACGGCTGGCGTTTGGGTTTTCCCAAATACGGCTATTTGGGGGTGGGGGGGCACTGGCTAGCGAGCCCCGTCAGCTTTCGACGATGCATGGCCGCCCTAAGCAACTCGCAAACGCACGCAGCACTTGCCCCCCAGGCTGGCGCCCCTGGGTCACACTCCCGCACAGTACCGCCGTCCACGTCTACTCCAATCGACAAATGACCTGGTAGAAGTAAGAGGAGATAACTGAACAACTCTGCAAGATGTGCGGATTTTCTACCGAAGTGCTCACGTCCAGACCATCACGCGACATTGTCCCAACGCGGGAACGCGTATATAATCATGCTGAAGCGGCAGCGGAGCAACACGCGCCGGACCGCGTACTTCTGCAAGGTAGCTTCCCTATGGAGCAGAATCCCTCTGGCCTGCGAGCCGCAGCCGCTGACCCAGACCGAGGGGGAACGACAACCTGCCGCGGTCGCCTGGCTACCTGCCAGGGCCACACGTCGCTCATTTCTAATCGTGTTCCTTTCGAACGGTGCTCGTTTCTGACTGTTCCTGGCCCCCTGGTGGCCGGGAAGAGGCCCATGATGTAGAACAGTTAGAGATGAGAGGATCCTGCCCCCCCCCCGAAAAAACAAGGAATTCACGAAGGATTGGAAATGAACAGTGTGTGCCTCTCCCAGCGTCGCCGACGCCACGGGCAGGGCATGGAGACCAGTGTGCCCAGGCGCGCCCCGTGCGGCCCCCAGGGTGGACGACCCTGGAGGGCAACGGCAACGCGGGGCAGAAGAAAGAACGACGCCGGGGACCAGGACCAGCCCGAAGCCGGGCACTCCTGGTCGGCCCCATTGGGGGCAGGAAACTGGAAAGCTCGACTGGGAAAAGGGCACATGCAGCACTTGCGACGGATGCTCACGCGCCAGCGGAAACGGAAACTTGGCCCTGTCGTCTCAGGAAAGAGCGGGAGGTAGGACTTGGAAGAGAATCGGGGGGAGGGACGCAAGAAGAAGAGGAAGACAACGAGGAGCAAGAGAGCATGGGGACGGGACGAGGACGATATGATGACAGGACGATTCAGAAAGCGGGGGCGGGCGGGGAGGAGTACGATGATGGTGATGAGGAGGAGATGGAAAAACGAGGAAAACAAGAAAGGGAGGAGGAGGAGGAGGACGAGGGGGATGAGGAGGATGAGGAGGAGAGGGAGGATCAAACTACGATTGGACGCTGGATAGGAAGCAAGACCAGTCAACGTGCGACAAACAATTTCCCACTTGGAGGTTCCGAACTGTCATCGGGCCTTCTCGAAAACCTGACCGGACAAGAACGGGAAGCGTCGCTTCAGTCCACCAAGCTTGTGGAAAATGCTCTGTTGTTGTTATGCCGCGCAGGTATGCCGTGGCGCGCGTGTCGGCGTGCGTGCGGGGTGTGTTTTGCTGTGCTCCTGTATGTTCTGCCGTGCTCCTGTTCTGCCGTGCTTCTGTGTTCTGCCGTGCCTCTGTGTGCTCTGTGTGTTCTGCCGTGTTCCTGTATCTGCCGTGCGGATCGTCGCGGTGGTCGTTTTGGAAGAGCTTCTGGGCGCACACGGCAGAAAAAGATGAGGAGCACAGCAGAATAGGCCCCAAGAGCGAAGGAGCACGGCAGAGAAAGACAAGGAACACGGCAGAATAGACCCCAAAAGCAAATGAGTACGGCAGAATACACCCCAAAAGCTAAGGAGCACGGCAGAAAATGACCAGGAGCACGGCAGAATAGACCTGAAGAGCTAAGGAGCAGGCAGAAAAAGACCAGGAGCACGGCAGAATAGACCCCAGGAGCTAAGGAGCAGGGCTGGATATGCCTCAAGTGCGAAGGAGCACGGCAGAAAAAAAGCAGGAGCACGGCAGGATAGACCCCAAAAGCTAAGGAGCACGGCAGAGAATGACCAGGAGCACGGCAGAATAGGCCCCAAGAGCGAAGGAGCACGGCAGAAAAAAACAGAAGCACGCCAGAATAGACCCCGAGAGCTGAAGGAGTGCGGGAAAATAGACCCCAAGAGCGAAGGAGCAAACCAGAAAAAGACGAGGAGCACAGCAGAATAGAACCCAAGAGACAAGGAACACGGCAGAATATGCCCCAAATGCGAAGGAGCACAACAGAAAAAAAAACAGGAGCACGGCAGACAAAGACCAGGAGCACAGCAGAATAGGCCCCATGAGCGAAGGAGCACGTCGGAAACAAACCAGGAACATGGCAGAATAGACTCCAAGAGCTGCCGAGCACGGCAGAAAAAGACCAGGAGCACGGCAGAATAGACCCCAAGAGCTAAGGAGCACGGCATAATAGGCCCCAAGAGCGAAAAAGACGCCAGAAAAAGACAAGGAGCACGGCAGAAGATGCCCCAAGAGCTAAGGACGACGGCAGAAAAGACCGAAACACAGCAGAAAAGGCCCGAGGAGCCGAAGAATACGACAGAAAAGACCAGGAGCACGGCAGAATAGGCCCGAAGAGCGAAGGAACAAACCAGAACAAGACGAGGAGCACGGTAGAATAGAACCCAAGAGACAAGGAGCACGGCAGAAGATGCCCCAAGTGCGAAGAAGCACGGCAGAAAAAGACCAGGAGCACGGCAGAATAGACCCAAGATTTAAGGAGCACGGCAGAAGAAAGACCAGGAGCACGGCAGAATAGGCCCCATGAGCGAAGGAGCACGGCAGAAAACAAACAAAGAGCACGGCAGAATAGACCCCAAGAGCTGAGGAGCACGGCAGAAGAGGCCCGAAGAGCGAAGGAGCATGACAGAAAAAAAAACAGGAGCACGGCAGAATAGACCCCAAGAGCTGAGCAGCACGGCAGAATAGGCGCCAGGAAAGAAGGAGCATTGCAAAACACGACCAGTGACCAGGAGCACGGCAGAATAGACCGCGAGAGCTAAGGAGCACGGCAAGATAGATGCAATAATACAGCATAATACGCCCCAAGGAAGAAGGAGTATGCAAGAAAAACACAAGGAGCACGGCATAAGAAAACCCGAAAGCGAAGGAGCACGGCAGAATATGCCCCAAGAGCTAAGGAGCACGGCAGAAAACGACCAGGAGCACGGCATCATAAGCCCCAAGAACAAAGGATTGTGACAGAAACTGGCCAGGAGCATGGCAGAATAGGCTAGAAGAGCGAAGGAGCACGGCACAAAAAAACAAGGAGCATTTCAGAATAGACCCCAAGAACGAAAGAGCACGGCAGAATAGACGTGAAGAACGAATGAGCATTTTTTTAGCCGGCCATGCTCCGCCCGTTTTTTTCGAGCATGTATGCAGCGAGAACGCGATTTTAAACATGAGAGGTATTGAAACCGCCACTCCAAGATATCATTTTTGTTAGGATGTCTCAGGCGAGACGCTAGTTTTTGAAGATCTGTCGAATTCGCGGGTTCCCATGTTTAAGGGATGTCTCAGGCGAAACGCTCATTTTTGATGAAATCGATGTTGTGAACATTTCATGTGTGTAAGGATGTCTCAGACGAAATCGCCATTTTGGATCGTCTCGAGGGCGCTCCTGGGGGTCAAATTTGGGCTTGTTTGGGGCCTTTCGGGGCCTTCTTGATGCCTTACAAACCGTTACAGTCCGATGTTACACACATTCATTTTTTCAGGATGTCCCCAGCGAACTCGTCATTTTTGGACGACTGGCTTAAATCATCTAGAAGCCTTTTCAGGAGCGATCCCCAGACGATGTGAAAACATAAGTTTTCAAGCAGATGTTCGATTTGTTTTTTTTTGAAGACGTCCCTAGCGAAATCACTATTTTCAGCAACCTGAAGGGCGCTCTTGGGGCCATGTTGTGGCCTTCTTTTGCTTCCTGATGCCCTCCTAAAATCATTACGATGCGATGTCGCACGCATCAATTTTTTGATGATGTCCCTACCACGGCAGAAAAAAAAGCAGGAGCACGGCAGACAAAGACCAGGAACACAGCAGAATAGGCCCCATGAGCGAAGGAGCACGTCGGAAACAAACCAGGAGCATGGCAGAATAGACTCCAAGAGCTGCCGAGCACGGCAGAAACAGACCAGGAGCACGGCAGAATAGACCCCAAGAGCTAAGGAGCATGGCATAATAGGCCCCAAAAACGAAAAAGACGCCAGAAAAAGACCAGGAGGACGGCAGAAGATGCCCCAAGAGCTAAGGACGACGGCAGAAAAGACCGAAGCACAGCAGAAAAGGCCCGAGGAGCCAAGGAGTACGACAGAAAAGACCAGGAGCACGGCAGAAGAGGCCCGAAGAGCGAAGGAGCAAACCAGACAAAGACGAGGAGCACGGCAGAATAGAACCCAAGAGACAAGGAGCACGGCAGAAGATGCCCCAAGTGCGAAGAAGCACGGCAGAAAATGACCAGGAGCACGGCAGAATAGACCCCCAGAGCTCAGGGGCACGGCAGAAAAAGACCAGGACCACGGCAGAATAGACCCCGGAGCTACGGAGCATGGCAGAAAAAGACCAGGAGCACGGCGGAATAGGCCCCATGAGCGAAGGAGCACGGCAGAAAACAAACAAAGAGCACGGCAGAATAGACCCCAAGAGCTGAGGAGCACGGCAGAAGAGGCCCCAAGAGCGAAGGAGCATGACAGAAAAAAAAATGGAGCACGGCAGAATCGACCCCAAGAGCTGAGCAGCACGGCAGAATAGGCGCCAGGAAAGAAGGAGCATTGCAAAACACGACCAGTGACCAGGAGCACGGCAAAATAGACCGCGAGAGCTAAGGAGCACGGCAAGATAGATGCAATAATACAACATAATACGCCCCAAGGAAGAAGGAGTAGGCAAGAAAACACACAAGGAGCACGGCAGAATAAACCCCGAAAGCGAAGGAGCACGGCAGAATATGCCCCAAGAGCTAAGGAGCACGGCAGAAAACGACCAGGAGCACGGCATCAGAAGCCCCAATAACAAAGGATTGTGACAGAAACTGGCCAGGAACATGGCAGAATAGGCTAGAGGAGCGAAGGAGCACGGCACAAAAAAAAAGGAGCATTTCAGAATAGACCCCAAGAACGAAAGAGCACGGCAGAATAGACGTCAATAGCGAAGGAGCACTTTTTTTCGCCGGCCATGCCCCGCCCGATTTTTTTGAGGATGTATGCAGCGAGAACGCGATTTTAAACACGAGAGGTAGTGGAGGTATTGAAACCGCCACTCCAAGATATCATTTTTGTTAGGATGTCTCAGGCGAGACGCTAGTTTTTGAACATCGGTCGAATTCGCGGGTTCCCATGTTTAAGGGATGTCTCAGGCGAAACGCTCATTTTTGATGAAATCGATGTTGTGAACATTTCATGTGTGTGATGATGTCTCAGACGAAATCGCCATTTTGGATCGTCTCGAGGGCGCTCCTGGGGGTCAAATTTGGGCTTGTTTGGGGCCTTTCGGGGCCTTCTTGATGCCTTACAAAACCGTTACAGTCCGATGTTACACACATTCATTGTTTCAGGATGTCCCTAGCGAAATCGTCATTTTTAGACGACTGGCTTAAACCATCTAGAAGCCTTTTCAGGAGCGATCCCCAGACGATGTGAAAACAGAAGTTTTCAAAACGATGTTGTTCGATTTGTTCTTTTTTGAAGATGTCCCTAGCGAAATCACTATTTTCAGCAACCTGAAGGGCGCTCTTGGGGCCATGTTGTGGCCTTCTTTTGCTTCCTGTGCCCTCCTAAAATCATTACGATGCGATGTCGCACGCATCAATGTTTTGAGGATGTCCCTACCACGGCATAAAAAAAGCAGGAGCACGGCAGACAAAGGCCAGGAGCACAGCAGAATAGGCCCCATGAGCGAAGGAGCACGTCGGAAACAAATCAGGAGTATGACAGAGTAGACTCCAAGAGCTGCCGAGCACGGCAGAACAAGACCAGGAGCACGGCAGAATAGACCCCAAGAGCTAAGGAGCACGGCATAATAGGCCCCAAGAGCGAAAAAGACGCCAGAAAAAGACAAGGAGCACGGCAGAAGA